CGAGCCAGTAACCCGCATATTAAGCATGCTTTTACCACAGGACCTTTGCATTTGCTATCTCATCAATGTATTTAAAATCCTACTCCCCACCCACCAAGTAGGTTCATTCTTTGATTTCATTCAGGGCTCTGCCCAAGGTTTTACATCATAGATGACTTCCCTGTGGATGTCTCCATATAAAGCTACCACTTTAAATCTTCTCACCTTTTTGTCTTTCTACATGCTACTAAATCAGTGCTTGCCCTACAACATATCTGTTTACCAGGAAAGATACAAATTCCACAAGAGCAGAGACTTTGCCCTTTTTGTTCACTGCTATATCCCTAGATCAGTGATTTTCAACTGGTGTGCCACGAAAAATTGTAAAGATCGCCAATTAAATTATTTTCAAAAGGAATTCAAAGCACAGTAAGTATATATAAATTTTGAACTCTTATTTTTTATCAGCATAGTAAGTGTGCCGCGAAAGTTTCACGATAGGTTCAAGTGTGCCATGAAATAAAGGGCTGAAAAACCCTGCCCTAGAGCCTGGAACGGTGTCATACATGTAATAGGTTGTGGAATGAAGGGGTTAAATATACAACATAAGCAGGGTTTTTAAAAAAAGTATTTGCAGCTAACAGATTCCTTATAAAAATATAGTGTTCAATTTGCTTATGAACCATAATAGCTTAATTGGGACAATAGTAAAGATTTCCTTTTTATTAACAAGAAAAATGAATAAAAATCACAGGTTCCCTATATAGAAGTACATTAAAAAAAATCACAAGATGTACACGCACATGTATTACTAATTCATTCATCTTAGAATTTAATATACATATTCAGATCCTAAAGACTGATTAAGAGTATTTTATAACATTCGTTTAGATTAACTGCACACAATTTTGGAGGACAGCCATCATTTTTCTTTCCTACACCTTTGTTCATTTCAGAAAACCCTGGGGCCCCAGGATTTGTGATTCTCCAACACGCAACACAGCTTTCTCAGATCTTGCGCGTGTGTCCTGTGGGCTCATCTCAACAGGAAATGGCCAAGGTGAAGAATCGAAACTCCCCACGCCTCCTGTTAAAACATGCTTTTGCTTTTTCTGTGGCAGCTGTGTGCTGCTCTCCCTTTCTTTGAGGAGATGAAGTAAACACGAAAAAGGGAAGTTTGCACGGCTTATGTTAGTGCCGTAGACTTATTTCCCAGAAAAGTAATCGTTTGTCAGAGATTTAAAAAAATATCCTACTCCCCTGCTGACAAAGTACAAGG